TGCTCCTGTGGCTCCAGTGCCCGTCCTGGGARCAGCAATTCTGTGCTGGAATGGTGGCACAGCTCTGCAGACAGCAGATGGTGTTCTTGAAATACATTAACTAACAGTTCTTAAAATACATTCTTAACACCCCTGGGAGAACTTTACCCAGCAGCAGCAATTTGCTTTGGACCTCCTGTTTCTCAGAATTGTGCTGACCTTCTCCTCACACATTTCCTGCTGCAGTTTCACAGGTTTTAGAAATTCACAGTTTGAAAAATTGATCTGTTGACTAAGAGGAGCACATTAGTGAATAACCTGTCTTGAAAAGGATGCGTTTCCAGAGGGAATTATCCARTCTGKACCTGATGACTTCACCCTTTGTGCMCATCCTGGGTTASAGATCCATTCCTCAGCTCTGCCTCATCCTGGCTGTCAACAAACCATTGAAATGCATCCTTTTAATTATGAGAGCRTTGAATTTTGTGGTGCTTGCTTTATCTTCATTTGTATTCCTCAGGCAGCTCACAGAAGGCATTATGCTCACGACAGTTTGCTGTGCACAGTTCTGTTCTCTGACAGATCCTCAGAAAAGCCTTTGGTGTTTTTTCTGTCAKCCTGTCACCATCAGCTCTCTGTGGGCTGGAGTCTTTCTTTGCTGTCTCCATCAACATAAATGTAGAGCTGTTCTCTCTGTGCCTCCTCTCTGCCCTGCTTGGCTGTGAAATCTGCCAGTGTCACAGAAATAAATAGGAATTGTGGGCCTGGTGAAGGTATTTTACATCCATGAGATCTGATCTRTGGTTTATTGAACTCAACTGAAATRCAGCAATGGGCATGAAGAGTTTGTGTTAGGTGAACATGCAGAATGGATTCAGTTATTCATTAATCACTTGGTRTTCAGTAAATGCCCAGATCAAAACRTGCATCTGTKAAAGAAGAGCACCAACAGCTATTCTGGGGATGAGACACATCCTAAAACCAGAGTGCTTTTAAAAGAGGGGAGGCAGGAGCYAGGAGCTTTTACTGGGCTCTCTTCTGATTTAAAAAATGAAACAGAATAAATCTCTGCTGCTTTTTGATAATTAACTGACAGCTTTCAGTGAAAGAAGACTTGAAGCTACAGCTTTTCTTCCTGTTTTATCTGAACTTCTCCCATTTGAATTATTTTTTCAGGAATGGCAAGGAATGTACTATGCGAAAAAGAAAAATGGAGATAGCATACAACAAAATGTGAAGATATTACCTGTCATTGGRCAGGGAGGGTGAGTGTGAAGGGTAAAGCCATGGTTTGTGTCTGAATGAGGGCTCAGTTCAGAGTTCAGGTGCTTTCAGCTGATATTGGATTATTCTGCTGTTGGGTACAATGGAAGCTCCTGCAGGGAAGGGACCCTCAGCCCTCTGAGCTCAATTCCCTGGGGCAAAATCTGCTTTACAAAATCTGTGTGCAGGGAAAGGGAGATCCTCCTCATTCTCAGCCAAAAATGCAGATGTGCTCACCTGTGCTCTGACTGTTCCGATTCTCCCTGAGGTGCAAGTGCCCCTCCTGTGCTGCTGTGCAGGGTGTTGGTGGCACCAGGACCTGTCCCCTGTCCCCATATCCTCTGTCCCCATATCCCCTGTCCTCTGTCCCCATGTCCCCTGTCCCCTGTCCCCCTGTGCTTTGTGCTTCTCCCATCCTCCCTTTTCCATGCTCCTTTCAGGCTGTGGCTGAGGGTTGTTAATGATGTTAATAATGTTAATAGTGTTAATAATCAAAGCACTGAGTGCTTTGATCATGGGCAAAATTCAAGCATGTCTGGATTTTTTATCTTCCACTTGGTCCCCAAATGGAGCCTTTGGAGTGCAGAGTGTCAGCYCTGAATTAGAGCCGAGGTTTGGATGGGAATTAACGCTCTGTTTTTTGCCTACAGAAAGATTAGACACTATGTGTCAATTAGTAGAGTGTGCAATGACAACAATAAGGTAAGTGAAAATAGTGCTGTGCTCACTYTTGTTTGAGCCCTGAATATTGCAAAATAATGGCAAAGTTCTGACTAACTGGATTTCTCATATTTAATTGTAGGTGGAGAAGACGTGTGAATGTATTCAGGCTGAATCTCAGACAGGTAGGACACATCTCTTCTGATCCCATGTGTGGAGAACATCCCTGGGGAGAGAATAAAGCCATTGTCAGGGGTTTGAGTGCAAAGTGTCACAGGACAGTCCTGTTCACCTGTGCTGAGCTGGGATTCCAACTCCAGAGGCAGGAAAATTTATACAAACCCTCTCTGCCTGCCTCACTTAATTTA